TCTAAATTATTTAAAATTAATTTAATTTAAATTTTAATTAAATAAAATTTAATTAAATTTTATCTGTTAATTATAATTTTGTTAATTTAAAATTTTTTTTATTACAAAATTTTAACCCATTCTTATCTTACATATCAATTTTTTAACCCACCAATAAATGTCAATGTTATATCTTTGATGTCCAGAGATTTCAAGGTCCACATTCCACATGCTGCTGAGTAGGGCTGGCTACTTAACCATAATTGTCGCAACTACTGTTGTATTGTCCCATTACTAGCCAAAACAGTATAAGAAATTATCATATCGTAAGTCTAAATAATAATATGATAATATCATTTAGATTTATAATATAAGATTAGTATTGGAGGCTCATTACCATATTTATCGTATGGGCCTCTAAACTACTGAATTTGTCATTGGCCCAAAACTTATTTTGTTCAACTTCAAAATATTTTTAACGATTTTTTTCCTAAGATGATGGTAATTTTTGTAATTTTACCAATAATTTAGTAATATAAATAATAATATCTCATTAACCCTAACTTTTTTCCTCTAATTCTTTCTTTATCGCCAGAGAGAGAAATTCTTTCTTTTATGATTAGTTTTATAATCTTATGAAATCATTTATGCATGCATGTTGCTTTTATATTTTTCAAATTTGTAAAATGCGAAATGAATGTTTATTTATAAGAATGGTTATCTACGATACTAGAAATTTATTATTCTATAATATAATTAATTAATTACTTTGTTCGGTTCATTAATTGTGCATCATAAATTTGTAAATATTAATTATAGTAATACAAAAAAATAATAATAATTTTGAGTTTTTAAGATTAAATTTTGAATGATTTAAATTAATTGATAATAAAAAAATAAATTTAAAGATATTAATATGAAATAATATTAATAAAGTAAATTTTATTACTGTTAAAATTAATTGATAATTACTATTAAAAAATCATCATCAATATAAAAATGATAATTTTTTTTCATTATCAGTTAACGATTGCCATCAATGAGAGTAATACGGTAATCATACCATACCATGTCCAGCTCTAGTGCTGAGCCCTAGGCCCTTACTGGCGCACGGTGTCAGATGCTGGTAGTAACCGTACATATTTATTAACTCAAACTTTAAATCGCTCTTTACACGGTCACATACTGACATTTTTTATTGACAATTATTAGTTTCTCTGAACTATTTTTCCTGCTATCGCAGAAAGTTGATCCCAGCTCAGCTTTGCCAGCCTGAGGTTGAAAGGTGGGCAATTCCGAATAACATTTTGAAAACGGGGCTACGATATTGACAAGAGACATAGACAAAAATATTTAAGAAAAGAAAAACGCACAACTGTGAATTTTTTTCGAGCGTAAATTATTTTTATAAAAAATAAAATTAATTTTTTACA